AAAGTACCACTCCACTCAACACGCGGAATACCTGGCATAGCCAGCGTCACGGTCTTGGCGTGACAATCAAGAATAGCAAAATGGGGCGACAACCAGTCCATGCCCAAGATAATGTCAAAATCCACCATACCGAGTAATAATAAGTCTGCTCTGGTCTCAAAACCACGAATAGTAACCAAACATGACCGATAAATGTGGTCCACAATAAGAGAATCTCCCACAGGAGTAGAAACATAAACGGGGGCACTCAAAGAATCCCGAGGCACACCCAAATGAGGAGCAAAGTAAGAAGACACATAAGAGTAAGTAGAGCCCGGATCGAATAGAACCGATGCCTCTCTGTGACAAACCAGTATAATACCTGTAATGACGGAGTCGGAGGCAACAGCCTCGGTACGAGCAGGAATAGCATAATATCTGGCCCGGCCCCTCTCTCGAGGGCGACCTCTATCTCCCCGACCTCCGCCCCTAGCCGGCTGGGCAGGTGGGGTAGCAGCTGGAGCTGTGATCATGGCCTGAGAACTCTGAGGAGCACGCTGTGGCTGAGCAGTCTGTGAAGATGCACCCCTACCAAGTCTGGGGCAGTCCCTAACCATGTGGCGTGTATCACCGCACTCAAAACAAGCTCTGGGAGGACGCGGTGGCTGTGACTGGCTGGGACTAGGCCTGCTGGACTGACCTCTGGAAACACCCCGCGCAGGAGGCGCGCTAGAAACTAGAGGTGCATAGTAAGGCTCCTGAGGTGTAGGTGGAGCTGGAGTACTGCTGGCTGCTGGAAGAGCTGAATGAATGGGGCGGCCCGCATAACCTCTGCCATAACGACCTGTTGCTGGGGTACGGGCACCAGAGTAGTGACCCGACTCTCGAGACCTCTTGGCCTCCCTCTCCCCTCGCTCCATGGCGAGCATACCCTCAATCCTCCTAGCAATGCTCACTACATGCTGATAAGGAATGTCCATCTCCAACTCTCGAGCCATGCTAGATCAGATGGGTGGGATAAGACCCTCAATGAACCTGCGAACTCTCTCACGAACTATAGCAACCAAGGCCGGTGCATGCCTGGCCAACCTAGTATAGTGGATAGTATACTCCGAAACGGTCATAGCACCCTGGCGCAAATGCTCAAACTCTGCGCGCCATGCGTCCCTGAGACTCTGGGGAATAAACTCTCTCATGAACATATCTGAGAACTGGGTCCAGGTCAGTGAGGCAGCCTCGGCTGGACTGTCTATCTCATAAGTGCGCCACCAATCATAGGCGGCTCCCCGAAGCTGGAAGGCAGTGAAGGAAACCTCGCTGGACTCTACTATGCCCAAAGTGCGAAGAATACAGTGACACTCCTCTAGAAATCCCAAGGCATCGTCTGATGCTAATCCACTGAATACTGGGGGATCATACTTCTTGAACCTCTCAAGTCTCCGCTGCTCGTCCTCTGAAGCAGCTGACCCGTCCTCGGGCTGAACTGGCGCTGCTGGCAGTGCGGGAATAATCTCGGGAGCCTGCTTAACATGCACTCGCTGCTCAAGAGTGCGGACGGCGGGAGTCTGTGCTCCTCCCCCGGCCTGGGATGTGGCTGCAGCAAGGGGAAGCAACCCTGCTTGAGCCAAGGTGGTGTACATACTCATGCACTAAGCCAAAGTCTCCTGAAGAGCTGGAGTAGTAGTGGCAGTAGTAGGCGTGCCAGGTGCCTGGGCTCCGGCTGGATCTGCTGGTGGTGCCTCGGCGGCAGCTTGCGCAGGTGGTCTGGCTGCACCACGTGCGCGTCCTCGACCTCTATCCCGGCCCCGGCCTCTGACGGCTGCAGTAGGGGGCGCGGGTGCCTGATCATCCCGAGTAGCGCGGGTGCCTGATCATCCCGAGTAGCGCGTGTCCTCACCATTTGTGAGAGAATAGAAGACAGAAGTTTAGAATTGTGATGTCAAAATATCGCACGACGAGGAAATCAAATGAAGTGAAAATTTTCCTAACAGTTACATAGCCTCTCGTAGATAAGTACAGACGTCTCCGTACCGATCAGCGAGACTCTAATAAACCGGCCTATGTTCCATGACTCCTATGAACCTAGAGCTCTGATACCAACTTGTCACGACCCCAGTTCGCCCTCCGTGAACATGTCGTGATGGCACCTAGTCCCTACGACTAGGTAAGCCTAACAATGCGGAAATAGCATAATTGCGGAAACAATAATTAACTAAAAAAACTGAAGGGTAACTGTATATAAATGACCGCTCGGCATATACAACCCAAAAATGCGGAAGTCTACAATATCATCCCAAACCGAAACTCACGGGACACAAGCTAGAAGAGTACTGTAAATGCTCTNCCCCGCGCAGGAGGCGCGCTAGAAACTAGAGGTGCATAGTAAGGCTCCTGAGGTGCAGGTGGAGCTGGAGTACTGCCGGCTGCTGGAAGAGCTGAATGAACAGGGCGACCCGAATAACCCCTACCATAACGACCTGCTGATGGGGTACGGGCACCAGAGTAGTGACCCGACTCTCGAGACCTCTTGGCCTCCCTCTCCCCTCGCTCCATGGCGAGCATACCCTCAATCCTCCTAGCAATGCTCACTACCTGCTGATAAGGAACGTCCGTCTCCAACTCTTGAGCCATGCTAGATCTGATGGGTGGGATAAGACCCTCAATGAACCTGCGAACTCTCTCCCGAACCGTAGCAACCAAGGCCGGTGCATGCCTGGCCAACCTGGTATAACGGATGGCATACTCTGAAACTGTCATAGCACCCTGGCGCAAATACTCAAACTCTGCGCGCCATGCATCCCTAAGACTCTGGGGAACAAACTCTCTCATAAACATATCCGAGAACTGGGTCCAAGTCAGTGAAGCAGCCTCGACTGGACTAACTAACTCATAAGTACGCCACCAATCATAGGCGGCTCCCCGAAGCTGAAAAGCAGTGAAAGAAACCCCGCCGGACTCCACTATGCCCATAGTGCGAAGAATACGACGACACTCCTCCAAAAATCCCAAGGCATCATCTGATGCTAATCCACTGAACACTGGGGGATCATACTTCTTGAACCTCTCAAGTCTCCGCTGCTCGTCCTCTGAAGCAGCTGACCCATCCTCGGGCTGAACTGGCACTGCAGGCGATGCTGGAATAATCTCGGGAGCCTGCTCAACCTGCACTCGCTGCTCAGGAGTGCGGACGGCGGGAGTCTATGCTCCTCCCCCGGCCTGGGATGTGGCTGCAGCAAGGGGAAGCAACCCTGCCTGAGCCAAGGTGGTGTACATACTCATGAACTGAGCTAAAGTCTCCTGTAGCGCTGGAGTAGTGGTGGCAGTAGTAGGTGTGCCAGGTGCCTGGGCTCCGGCTGGATCTGCTGGTGGTACCTCGGCGGCAGCTCGCGCAGGTGCTGTGGCTGCACCACGTGCGCTTCCTTGACCTCTAGCAAGGGGCGCGGGTGCCTGGTCCTCTCGTGTAGCACGTGTCCTCACCATCTGTGAGAGAATAGAAGACAGAAGTTTAGAATTGATGTCAAAATATCGCACGACAAGGAATTCAAAAGAAATGAAGATTTTTTTCCTAAACAGTTACATAGCCTCTCGTTGATAAATACAGACGTCTCCGTACCGATCAACGAGACTCTAATAAACCGGCCTGTGTTTCGTGACTCCTATGAACCTAGAGCTCTGATACCAACTTGTCACGACCCCCGTTCACCCTCCATGAACATGTCGTGATGGCACCTAGTTCCTACAACTAGGTAAGCCTAACCGTGCAGAATAACAATTTAACTTGAGGAATAATCAATTAAAACTGAACATGTGAAAAATAACAACTGAATATAAGGCCGCCCGGCCTATACAACTCTAAAGATATGCGGAAGTCTACAACTCAATCCCAAAATCCGGAAACTCACGGGAAACACAGGCTAATAGAATTACCATAAGTACTCTAATCTCCAGAATATCTACATCGAAAGTATGATAGGATAAAAACTCTACAACTAGAATAAGGAAGAAGACTCTTCGGTCTGCGGACGCTGCAGATATACCTCGAAGACTCCGTGTGTCTCCTCGCCTCAAGGGTAGTGCGCCTGAGAAGAGGTACCTGGATCTGCACATGAAAAACATGCGCAGGAAGGGCATGAGTACACCACAGCGGTACTCAGTAAGTGGCAAGCCTAACCTCGGTTGGGTAGTGGCGAGGAAGGTTAGGGCCCTACTGAGGTAAAATATAATATTAATTAACAGTATGAAAATCTGACAGAAATAATCAGTACAGCAGTGAGATAAGGCAAGTCAACGAGGTAATAAAAACTACAAAAGACAGGGTAAACACAGAGTAAATACAGCTCAATGTCAATGATACCAATGAGGGTCTCCCAGGATACCGTCCTGTAGCCCTTTTCTCAACTGTCCAGTGGATCTCCCGGGATACCGTCCCGTAGTCCGACCATCAATGTGCAGGGGGATCTATCGGAAATCTAACCGGCAGTTCCGTAGTCCCAATGTAAATGCACAACCACAGCCAGAAATATACCAAGGAATGAAGTACAAAATACAAACACAGATAGAACTAGCCTAACATGCTTCACGTAGAACAGTCAAAACAACTTAAGCAAACAGGCAATCAATTCAACTAAACATGCTTTTCCTAATCTAGCACAAGTTATAATTTCAAGTACTACGGCGATATTTTATAAATGTCATACTTAGTCACATAAATGTCACAAATTCCCTTACCGACATTTTTTTTTACACAGTTTAAATGTCGGAAATTTCGATGTCGGGAATTTTCCGACATTTACATTAATATCGGTAAAGAATTTATAACATTTATTTACTGATTTTTTTATGAAACGTCGGATTGAAATTTCTGACATTTAGGATACTGTCACCAATAAAAAATGACATTTATTTACAATTATTATCAAATGTCGATAGTATCAGTTTCTACTGACACTTGTGCAACATATCATGTTAATATCGAAAATACACAATGATCTTTGTACTTAATATTGAAAGCACATTTGCTATAAGTGCAAAAGCTACTATTCATTTCATTATACCAGAAGCCATAACCATCCAATTCCAAAATATATACATACAAATGTCATTCACCATAGACAATTTGAACTAAAGTAAAATAAATTGAAAAGAAGATCCCTATAACTAATTATAAGTGTATACCTAAGTAAAATCTAAGTAAGTTTGGAACAACAAGAGATTTATTTACTTCTTCAACTGTCTTCCACTCTTTCTGCTACTTTTTCTAGGAGCTTCTTCTCCAATTTACTTATGTGTCTGCCCATTTGATACTCTCTTGAATTGAGACAAGAAGATTGTCTGATGTAGTCACCTATACATTTATAAAATGAGAAATATATTAGCAAGACGTTGAAGTTAAAATTACACCCTAGGCTTAACATATTAGCAAGTAGAAAATAAATATAATGCAGTTTTTTTACGAGTATCCTCTATGTTATATTCCAAAGTTTGTCTTCAATTAACAACAACTATACCTCAATCTGAAACAAGTTGGGAAATTATCTTTGAATCAATGAGCAAAAATAATTTGTAAGAGTAGAAATACATAACTATAAGAAAGAATAATGTTGTTTGGCCACCAAATCTATAAGAACCTTTACCACAAGATGCCACACTCTAAACTTGCACGCTCCGGCTCAATATGAAGACCAACACGTGTTCAACTAACTATTGTCGAATGCCAATTTTAGGTAACAAAGCCCCTTGAAGAGAATAGAAAGGAAAGAGGGAAACTCAGTTAAAGTAGAATTTAGTCAAAGATAACATGTAAAAAAATTGTACAGCATTATTGTACTCACAAATATTACCTTTTCAAATGAAGCTTTTCCCTATGCCGAGATAACAGAATGAACAACATCCACATAAAGACTCAAAAGTACTATTTTGATTAAAAGAAGTTAAGGAGAACAACAATACTATCATTGAGTTGGATAGATACCTGACAGATTTTGAACAAACAGGTAATACTTTGACAGGGTAGTTAATGATAAGCAACTCTACTATTAGCAACTGCCTGTAAAGAGCACATTATAATCACTTAGTCTAGTTAAGAGTATAAAAACAAATACCGGTAATGTGAAGCCGCAAAGAGAACATACATCTTAAAGTATTTGAACAAGGTCAAATAGAGGTAGAACTAAATTTACATGTAAAGCAAGTCTCATACTAAGTCACACAAATGATTATTCTTTACATTGGCATCAACTTAGGGCATACAATGAATCATCTGAATTTGGAGGAAAAGCATAATAACATTCAACACTCTATATTAGATTAGAAAATGACTTTCTTATTCTAACAGAAAACTAACTTTAATGAATTATCACAGCAAAATAAACATTAATTACCGAAATCAAAAATTAATTAAAAAAATAAACTTTACTCTCCATCAACCACCCGAACTAGTATCACATGAATATAAAGCATTGAATAGAAGTAACTAGAATTTTTCTAGAGAGTACCAATCTACAGGAAAATAACATAATCAAAGCTACGTATTTTTAATCCCTTAAAATTGTAAACATCAACCAATGAAGAAGTTGAAATAAAACATGGAGGTACCCGAATGTAGCATAGAAAGAGCGATCGAAAGACTCTGTTCTCGATTGATTAACATCAGGCATCATCCATCGAATTCCCCCTACTCGTCCCAATTGCTTTCTCGGTCCTTATCATCTACGAGGATACCAATTGCAGAGAAGAAACTAACGGCAGAAGAGGCACCAACATCAGAAATATCACTAGTAGAGACGAACTCAGATGGCGGCAAAGACCGGTGGAACTGCTACGGTAGACAGCAAGAAAAGAGCGCTGCGCATAAGGCGAAGGAGACCTAAAAGAAATTGCGAGTCTAATTCTTTCTTTTAAAAAAAATATCCCATATGTGGCAAAATTTCCTACTATTAATTGTAAAAAGTCGCTAAAAAGTTATTAATATTGCGTTAATTAAAGCAAATGTTATACTATTTCGTCATTTTTTATCAAATGTCACTATTTATGACAATTTCAAGTAAATGTCGCTAAACTAATTAATTCCCGTCTTTTTTCATAAATGTCACTAATTAAATGTCGTCGTAGCTCATATTTGTTGTAGTGATAAGGAAGGTAAGAAAGAAACTAAATCTCAATAACTTAAGTAAAAACCGGGATTCCATCAATCGGCTCAAGTACGCGCTCGTCACCTCGCGTACAAGGCACTCAAAATTCAAATAACAAATCCTAAGGGGAAAAGGTCCCCCACACAAGGTTAGACAAGCCACTTACCTCGAATCGGCACCAAAATCAACTCGAAATCACACTTTTTCCACGAGTATCCGACTCCAAATGACCCAAATCTATTCAATTCAATTACATATCGTAAGTAATATTGCAAACAACTGATTCCACTGTTAAATTTAAAGCTAAGGCGCGAAAATAGGTAAAATAACCAAAACGCCCCTCAAGCCAACGTCTCGGAATCGAATAATTTTCACATTTTTAGAACCCTCGTACTCTCACGAGTCTAACCATATAAAAATCTCCCAAATTGGAGGTCAAATGCCCACTCAAAACTCAATAGTCTAGCCGATGAAGTTTTACCCCAAATTATCCAATTTTTTTGTCAAAAATTCGAATTCCCATGATGTATTTAACTATATAATGATAAAGTATAACAAAAAGGGATCATAGAAACGTTACCCAATGATTTTCTCTTCAAAACCCACTCAAAATCGCCTTCTCCCGAGCTCTCAATCGATTTTTCAAACTTATGAAATTAAACCCTCGAAGTTGCTATTTCTGAACAGTGAATACTACTTCTGCGGTCTAGGGACCGCTTCTGCGGTCCCGCCTATGCGAAGCACTGGCCGCTTCTACGGCTCCCTAAAAAAATCCCAGCTTCCGCTCCTGCGGTTCCCATCTCGCAGAAGCGGATCCACTTCTACGGAAATCCTACCGCTTCTGCGGTTTCCTGGAGGGTGATCAAAAGTTGCTTCTGCGACGTCCAAGGCCGATTCTGCGGCTCCGATTCTGCGGTTCCCAGGCCGCAAAAGCGAAAATACCAGAAGGAAAAATACCAGCTGCTGCAACACTTAGAAATTTCCTCCGTTAACCACCCGAAATAATCCCGAGGGCCCTGGGACCTCAACCGAAAGCATCAATACCACCTAATACCTTATTCGAACTTGTACCAATCCTTAAAACACCTAAAACAACACCGGAAGCCGATTTAATCAAAGATTCAAGCCTAAGAACTTCAAATTTCTTCCAAATACGATTTCGATAAAAAACCTAACCAAAAGACGTCCGAATGACATGAAATTTTGCACACACATCCCAAATGACATGACGGAACTATTGCAACTTTCGAAATTCCATTCCGACCTTCGGATCAAAAACTCACTATCGGACCGGAACTTCAAAACTACAAACCTCGGCATTTCAAGCCTAAATGAGCTACGGACTTCCAAAATACATTCCAAACACGCTCCCAACCCCGGAATCACCTAACGGAGCAAACGGAACCATCAGATTTCCATTCCGAGGTCGTCTTCACACTGTTCCGACTACGGACCATTTTTTCTACACTTAAGCTCTCATTTAGGGACTAAGTGTCCCAAAACACTCCGAATCCTAACACCGAACGTCCCGGCAAACCAAACTAGCAGAAATGAACTTAGGGGAAACAGTAAATTGGGAATCGGGGCATAAATTCCAAAAACGACCGGCCGGGTCGTTACAAGCGTGAGTACAACCAACTCAATAAGTAACAAATCCAACCTTTAGACTGAAATTAGTGACGAACTCAACCGGTACCGCTCAATATAGAAATAATAGTTCAGAAATGTAGACATGCTTTCAAGTTCAACAGTTAAACTAAATACAATAAGATAGATCAAATCGAAGTGATATGAAGGATATAACTACTCTACTTGTAGATGCCAATGCACATGTTGTATGTGATGCACCATGCTGACACAGCCTCGTGTGCTCACATTCTCAAATGCTCTATCACTCAATACTGTATATGGCCCATCCGGCCCTGGGAAGATTCATCCCGGAATATATATATCAACCGACCATCAGTCACTCAGTACTGAGTAAAGCCAATCCAGCCTGTAGGGAAGATCCATCCCCAGGTATATAAATGCTTCGGACAAGATCTATTTCTAAGGAAGATCCATTCCTCAATATAATAAACCGCGCTCAGTGGGGCTGTGTGCAGACTCTGAAGGGGCTCCTTCAGCCCAAGCGTTATTATAAATCAGTATAACCGCTGAGGCGTGCAACCCAATCCCATAAATGTCACTCATAATCAGGCCCTCGACCTCACTTGGTCATCAATCTCTTCAGACTCTCTCACGAGCTCACAATGTCACGAAACTAGCCCGAACATGATGATATTATGTATTAATAAATAACAACAGAGACTGTGATATGATATTAAATGCATGAATATGACTGAGTACAAAATATCAATGGAATCAACAAGTCAACAACAAGAAACGACCACTATGGGGCCCAACCGTACCAACATATAACCTAAACATGATCTCTAACATGATTGACAACTCAATTACTTTATCGCACGATGAAAATACGGATATAAACAAGATAGAACCACAATATAGAGCCATGGAATCGACCAGGTCACAATTCTCACGGCGCACGCCCGCACGCCCGTCACTTGGCATGTGCGTCACCTCAACACCAATAACATAACACATAATTCGGTGTTTCGAACCCTCAGAACCAAGTTTAGAAGTGTTACATACCTCAATTCGAGCAAAACTCTACTCCAACACGCCTTTGCCTCGGAAATCGGCCTCCAAATATCCCAAATCTAGCAACAAGAAGTACAATACACTCAATATGGGCTAAAGGAACAGATTTCACAAGAAATTACGAAGTTATAACTCAAAATCTGAAATCGGCTCAAAGAAGGCCTTCGGGCCCACGTCACGATATTTGACAGAAGTCAGAAAACTCGAAAGCCCACTCACCACGAGTCTAATCATACCAAATTTATCAAAATTCGACACCAAATCGCCACTGAAATCCTCAAATCAAACTCTCCAAATCCGTAGCCTCACACCCCTAAATTTCACCTCAAAACCACACAATCTAGGTGGGAGAATCAATGGGGAAACATTATGATTAAATTAAAACGAGTACAAGAAGCTTACCTAAAAAGTCCCCTCGAAAATCCTCTCAAGAATCACCAAAACCCGAGCTCAAAATGTTAGAAATGGTGAAAAACCCAGAAACGCTCGTTTTTTTAAGCTCTGCCAAGCTATTCCCGCACCTACGGAGGGTGGGCTCGCACATGCACATCCGCTTTTGCAGAAAAACATGCGCTTCTGCGAAAGTCACTTACCTAGCGAGCCTCCATTTCTGCGACCTCCGTCCCGTATCTGCGCAATCGCAGGTGCGGAAATCCCATCACACATGCGACCTCTGCTGACCTCCTTCAACTCCGCACCTCTGCTCCACCTGACGCACCTGCTGCCAAGACCCTCGCATGTGCGATTACACTAGAAGGGCAACAGCTTCATCAACCTCAAAACTCCAATCCTTGATCCGTTAACCATCTAGAATCAACCCGAGGCCCCTGGGACTTCAACCAAACATACCAACAAGTCTTAAAACACAACGCGAACTTAGTAGAGCCCTCAAAATACCTCAAACAACATCAAAATATGAATCGCACCCCAATTCAAGCCTAATGAAACTATGAAAATTCAACTTCTACAAAGGACGTTGAAACCTATCAAATCACGTCCGATTGACCTCCAGTTTTGGACACAAGTCACAAATGACACCACAAACCTACTCCAATTTCCAGAAATCCAATCCGACCCCGATTTCAAAAAGTCCACTCCCGGTCAAACTTTCCAAAATTTTACTTTCGTCATTTCAAGCCTAGTTTTACTACGGACCTACAAATCACAATCCGGACCCGCTCCTAAGTCCAAAATCACTCAACAGAGCTAACGAACCATCAAAACTCAAATACGGGATCGTTTACAATATCCAGTCAACTTTTCCAACTTAAGCCTCCAACCTTGAGACTAAGTGTCTCAATTTATTCTGAAATCTCTCCAGACCTGAACCAACTAACCCGGTAAGTCATATAACAGCTACGAAGCATAAAAGGAGCAGTAAATAGGAAACGGAGTTACAACTCTTGAAACAACCTGCCGGGTCGTTACAAGTTTATTTTTCCTTGTGTTACATTATTTATTTTGTCACAGTTGTAAGGACGAATCAATATTTTGTGTTGTAGATGACAGATTAGATGTTATATCTTCTTTGTGGATTGATTCTAAGTTATTTTACACTCTACCATACAGATTTAAGAATTTTTAATGCAATAATTGATGTGATACAGTTTATTTTGTTTGGTATGTTTTGCTTTGATTTTATGTTGCACAATTAAAATGTACAATATATACAATTCGATGTCGTGAGTATGTAAAACACATGATTTGCGGGGATTGTGTTTTTCAGATACACGGATAAACATAGTTGATACACACATGATACATATCTTATATACACCTTATACATATGGAGGTTGCACATCCTGTCTTAGTGGATGTCGAGTATTTTGAACAACTTCAAAACCTGCTCAGTTTTGAATACTTGGGAGCTTAAAAATGTTTATATGTATTAACCTTAATTTAGCAAATTATCCATCAAGACATTAACCAAGTCGAGTTTTAATTTATCAAGCATGTCTTCAAGACTACAACTTGATATACACAAGAAAAAGACATGATTGGTTTGTCAACTGATGAGATTTACATAACAAAAAGACATGCTATACAGATATATATAGGTGATACATACATATTACATATGTGATACACAAGTGTTACAATTGCATGTTTATACGTAGGTGTAAA